GATATTAAATCTATAGTTATCTTCTAGCTTAATCAACATTCTCCCCCTTAAGCTTGAAGTCTCCATTCTTCACATCTTGAACCCCAATGAGATCTCTCATTTCTTTGAACTTGATTCTTCCAAGTGCCTTAGTTAATATGTCAGCCTTTTGTATTCTCCCAGCTACATACTCCACGTCCACTAACCCATTTTCCATACATTCTCTTATAAAATGAAACCTAGTATGAATATGTTTGCTTCTTCCATGAAATACCGGGTTCTTAGAGAGTGCAATCGCATATTTGTTGTCTATGCGAATGACAGCCTTCCTTACTATGCCATCCACGATTTCTCCAAGTAGTTCCTGAATCCACAGCGCCTGTTTTGCAGTCTCAGTTGCTGTCATGAATTCAGCCTCACATGAAGACAATGCAACAATCTCCTGCTTCTGAGAACACCACGTAACTGGACACTCATTTAGATAAAAGATATGTCCGGTTGTGCTCTTCCCATCATCAGGATCTACGTTGTAACTACTATCGCTATAACCGACAAGCCCTTTCTTCCCATTCCTTTTGTAGTGAAGACCAAGTGAACACGTACCACGTAAGTATCTCAAAACATGTTTCAATGCAGCTCTATGTGAAGTCTTCGGATCATGCATATAGCGACTTAGTACTCCACTGGATTGAGCAAGATCCGACCTTGTATGTATGAGGTAACGAAGGCACCCAATGTGTCTTCTGTAATCCTTCTCATTGACTCCATCTTCTTCTGATGCCTTTGACAACTTTAGACCTGAGTCCAAAGGTATATGAGCCACGTTGCAATCTCCCATACCTGCTTCTTCTAGAATTCTGGTCGGATACCTTTCTTGCCGCAGTGTTATACCATCAGTAGACTGTGTGACTTCAATTCCAAGGTAGTAAGTGAGTTTTCCTAAATCACTCATCTCAAATTTTGTTGCCATCTCTTTCTTGAACTCTTGTATAACATCAAGACTGGTTCCTGTAATAAGCAGGTCATCCACATAAACCGCAACCAACAATACATATCCCTTCGTTTTTTTCCTAATAAGCGAAGGCTCCTTTGCACATTTAGTGAACTTCAACTCTCTCAGAATTGAGTTGAGCCTGATACTCCAAGCTCTTGGTGCTTGCCGTAGACCATAGAGTGCCTTGTGTAATCTATACACCTTGTTTTCACTCCCTTTAACCTCGAAACCTTCAGGCTGTGATACATATACCTCTTCTATCAAGTCTCCATGAAGAAATGCGGTTTTAACATCCAGATGATGAATCTCCCAATCACTCGAAGCTGCCAACGCTATAATGACCCTTACGGTTTCTATCCTTGCCACAGGAGCGAAGACTTCCTCAAAATCTATTCCATGACGCTGTACATAGCCTTTTGCCACTAATCGAGCTTTGTACTTGTTTATGGTTCCGTCTACGTTCCGTTTGGTCTTGAAGACCCACTTTAGTCCTATTTCCTTGCATCCCACGGGAAGTTCAACAAGTGACCAAGTTTGATTCTTCTTTATAGATTCAATCTCATCTTTGCAAGCCTCTCTCCATACTTTCTCAGCCTTTGCTTCTTTCCAATCCCATGGTTCCTCATTAACTAGAAGAACAAAACGCTCGAGATCCTCCAACACTAAAACGTAATCATCTAAGTAGCTGGGCTGTTTTATTTCTCTTGATGATCTTCTTAGCATTGGTTGTTCCACCGTTTCTGATCTTCTTCCTTGTCACTACGTGTTTCTTCTTTACCAACACTGTAATCTCCAACGTTTTCCTTATCTTCACTACTCTTGTGTTCAGTATCAAAGTTTGGAAACGTGATCACATTCTGCTCACTGATTGTTTCTATTCCTTCGGCTCTCCATTCCCAACTTTTATTTTCATCAAAGACTACGTCCCTACTAACAACCACTTTTCGAACCTTTGGATCATATAAACGATACGCCTTTGTTCCTGGTTCTACTCCGAGATGTACCACCATTTGACTTCTATCATCAAGTTTCCTTAAATGTGGTGCTTCTAGTTTTGCGTAGCAAGTGCATCCAAAAACTCGTAGGTGTTGAACGTTTGGTTTCTTTCCTTTAAAGCTTTCATATGGTGTTTGCATCTTCAAGGTTCTTGTTGCCACTCGATTAATCAAATAAGTAGAGTGCCTAACTGCTTCTCCCCACAAATAGTTTGGTACCTTCATGTGTTTCATAATGCTCCTAGTCATCTCCATCAGCGTTCTGTTGCGGTGAGTATGGTGCAGTTAGGTGCCGTTGTATTCCTGCATTATCACAGAAACTCTGAAATTCCTGAGTGGTGAACTCACCACCTCTATCAGTTCAAAACGCTTTGATCACTGCTCCAGTCTCCTTCTCAACAATACTCTTGAACTTCTTGAATTTATCAAATGCTTCGCTTTTCTCCTTCAATAAGATGCTCCACATGTATCTAGAATGATCATCAATCAAAACAAACACATATTTGTTTCTTGCAGCAGTTGATGGTGATATGGGTCCACAAAGATCTCCGTGAACCAACTCTAGAATGACTGAAGCACGGTAATTTGTTGCCTTGGGAAAAACTTGCCGAGTTTGTTTTCCTAAAAGACAGGAAGAACAAGTCTCTCTCTCGATAGATATATTTGGTATACCTGTGACGATGTTCTTGTTTATCATGCTCTTCATAGTGTCTACTCCAACGTGCCCAAGCCTTGCGTGCCATATAATCGAATCATCGGTCTTCTTTAGCTGCAGTCAACGGTTGTTCTCAACATCCATAGTTACTTTGTAAAGACGGTTTCTTAACCTTACAGACTTCACCAACAAGTTACCATCCCTGTTGTATAGTGTCAAGTAATCATCTTTCATTCTAACGTCGCAGCCAGATTTTGTTGCCTGACCAAGGTGATAATATTACTCTTTAGGTCGGGTATGAAGTAGACGTCAGCTAGTATCTTCCTCTTGCCATTCTTGCTGATAAAAAGAATTGATCCTTTTCCTTTTATATCTATTCGAGAATCGTCTCCAAATCTTACCTTCCCTGTGACTTTCTCATCAAGGTTAGAGAAGTATCCACGGTTCCCAGTCATGTGGTTACTTGCTCTGTTATCTAAGTACCACATGTTGTCCTTATCAGAGTGTGACTCGAACTTACTTGGCATGACTTTCTCTTCGTTCAGATATACTATTTCCTGCATCATTAACTCCTCAGCTTCATGTGTACTATCGTTTTCATTCTCATGTGTCTCTTGGAGCTTTAACAAACGATCAGGGCAGTTATATGCATAATGCCCGGTCTTATCACAACGGAAACAAACCACACGTGATGTATCTCTCCCTTGTTTCCAATCATTTCCTTGTTTCCAATCACCACGGCCGCCATAGCGTCCTCGTCCTTTTCCTTTATTATTAAAACGTCCTCTGCCTCTGCCATAACCTCCTTCTTGATGATCCTGAGATTCCTTATTAGCATACATAAGTTTTTCCTGATCTTCTTGTTGATCATCATCTTGAGTTCTCTCTTCATAAGCTTTTAGTCTTCCGACTATCTCCTCAAAGCTTGTTATATTTAAATTCGTGAATTGTTCAATTGCAGCGATGATGCTGATGTATCTCTTCTTTGGAAGGCTGCTCAAGAACTTCTTAACAAGTTTAGGTTCATCAATAGCTTCTCCTAGTGCTGCAGACTTAGAGGAAATCTCTGCTAATTTTCCTGAGTACTCATCAATAGTTTCTGTGTCTTTCATCTTTAGTCTTCCAAACTCATCCATAAGAGTTTTCAATCTAGCCTCTCGTACTCTATCAGCTCCTACATGTCTGGTTTTTATTGCTTCCCATATCTCTTTTGCAGTGTCAAGATGACCAACAATCAACAGTAGGGTTTCCGGGATCGATTGAAACAGCAGTGCTCTCGCCATGGTATTTTTATCAAAATCTTCCGCTCCTGGATCTATTGTCTCCCAAACCTTATGCACCTGAAGCGCTACTTTCATTCTCATGCTCCACACCGTATAATTTACGTTGTTGAGCATTGGACACTTTATCGTTGAAGGAACACTATCCTTCATCTTTGTCGTCGTGATCAAATCGCCCATATCTTCTTCACCAAGAAAGAACTTATCCTTGACTCCAATAGAGCTCTAATACCAATTATTGAAATCGAACCTTCAAACCAAATATAAAGACTCACTTTATTAATGCTTTAGAAACTTAACACAAAACTAAAACTTCCTCAAAACCCTCTTAAGTTATGCCACAATCTCGGCATCTCCTTATATACTACTTCTAAGTTCCTAAACTCATTAGGAAACCATATCTTAAAGATAAACATCAATCTTTCTAATCTTAATCTCATTAGGAGATATTAAATCTATAGTTATCTTCTAGCTTAAGTCAACATCATGTTTTAAGCTGGAAAGAAATGCTGTAACTGCCTTTGGGTGAACCTTTTTTCATTACTTTTATTTAATTTGAAGAATCTTCTCCAAAAAAAAAGGAAGAAATTTGTTTTCTTTTATTTCTTTTTTTTCTGAATAAAGATAGGTTAATTTAATAGATTTTTTTTGTCCCATTTTTAGTCTATATTAAATGCATTCGCATATGAGAAGTTAACTTGGGAATGAAAACGGAATGAAATTTTGGTCAAAGTATGCTGAATATATGGAATAGGTTGGTCGTATAGGGGACCAATACAATAACTGAAAAATGAAACATAGTGATATATGTCAATATAAATTTATATTTTTTTAAAAATGTCGAAATGTTTGATTAGTAATTTTGCAACTAAAAAAAAAAAAAATGTTGCAATTTTACTAATCATATATTTCAGACAAAATTTCTAAATATCAATTTATGTAAACATATTACTACTATACAGAATAGTGATATCTATTTCTTGAAAGAAGTGTTGACGTTAAGAGCAAAAGTCTTGGTTTTGAAAAAAGAAATGAGATAGAACGGCGTCCCAGCAAATTTCTATCTGACCAATCGGAGAAGAGCCATAGATAACTCTTTTGCATTTCCTCAGTTTTGTCGGAAAATTAAAATTAAAAACAAAAACAAAACTACAGAGAGGAGAAGAAGGGGAGATACGTGCTCACCATCATCGGCGTTAGGCAGAAGAAGATCGATGGAGAGAGAAAGATAGAGGATCAATTTCTTCTTCCCCCAAATACTATTCATCTTCATCATCACGTCCCATGTACGTTCTTTTTAGGGTTTCTCCTCTCTTTCTCCGTCAAAGCTCTTACCTTTCGATAGACCCATTCATCAATTCGTAATCTCCTCTCTCGATTTCGTTTAAAAATCTAAACTTGTGGAGACCCATTTTGATTTTTCAGGGTGGAAATGAAAATCTCAGCTCTTGTCGACAGTATCTATTCGTTTCTAAATCTGTCTTCTTCCAGACATATCGATTTAGACCCATTTGAGAAATACTACAAGAGAGTCGAAGAGTTGTTGTCAGTCTTGAAGCCGGTAGCTGATGCTGCTGCTGTTCTCAACTCTGATCTTGCTTTGGAGGAGAGACTTTGGAAATCGTTTCAAGAATTGACTCAAGATGTTGATCACTCCAGAGATCTTTTCACAAATTGGCACGCTTTCTCCAGTAAAGTCTACTTCGTAAGCTCCGGAAACTTCTGCTCTTTAACTTGTTTTGAAGCTCTATAGAGTTTGAGCATGCGTAGATTAGCTTGCTCTATGAATTCCTATCAAGAAGTTGTATAAAGTTTCAGCATATACTAATGATATTGAGTACTCTGCTGTATAGAAGACATAACATACATCTCTATGATCCTTTCCAGACACTTGACTGTTCAATTTTTCACTGCAGCTAGCTAACTTGTCTTATGCTTTGGCTTATGTTTATCTGTTGTGAATCCCTATTGAGAGGTTGTATGAGAATGTATTAGTACTCTGTTCTCTACAAGACATTACAGACATCTTTATGACTATTCTGACGTTTTTAGGATAAAGTTAATGACTATTCTGCTCCCCTGCTTGATCCTTTGGTTACTTAAATAATAATATATCGTTTTGTTGATGAACTTCTCTTGATATCCACATCTAGGTCCTCCAAATTGAATCTTTGATACCCAAGATGCGAGACACTATTGTGGATACTTTCCAGTTTCTCAACTCTTTGAAGAACGACCTACCTGATGAGCTGCGTCCAGCTTCCCTCGAGGTACTTTCTCTTTACATTAAAAAGGAATCTTACATCATTTTCCCTTTGGAGAGATCCGGTGTACATATAGAAACTTAAATGATTTGATATTACTTATGATGGATGCGTTGTGTATTGTTTGTGCTGTCTACATTAGCAATTGACTCAACTTCACAAATGTTTGTGATTGCAGAAATGTATTGAGAAGATTAAGCATCTTAGTTATGAAGAAATCTCTTCTGTAATTGATGGTGCTCTAAGGGATCAGAGAGACGGCGTTGGACCTAGCCCTGAGATCTTAGTAAAAATTGGAGAGAACACTGGTCTAAGATCAAACCAAGAGATTCTGATCGAAGCAGTTGCTCTTGAGAGGCAGAAAGAGATTGCTGAGCAGTCTGAGAACAATGCAGAAGTCGAGTTCCTTGACCAACTGATTGTTATAGTAAACCGCATGCACGAACGTCTTCTTCTGATCAAACAGACTGAGACATCTAGTGTCTCCATTCTTGCCGACTTCTTTTGCCCTCTGTCCCTTGAAGTTATGACTGATCCAGTTATTGTGTCATCAGGACAAACATATGAGAAGGCCTTCATTAAGAGATGGATTGATTTAGGTTTAAAAGTTTGTCCCAAGACTAGGCAGACTCTGACTCACACGACTTTGATACCTAATTACACCGTCAAGGCTTTAATCTCTAATTGGTGTGATACAAATGATGTCAAGCTGCCTGATCCCAATAAGTCAAAGAGTTTAAACGAGCTCTCTCCTCTTTTGTCATGTACAGACTCCATGACAAAAGTTAGCAACAAGTCAAATGATTGGGATGCTTCTCCTTCACGTTCAAATGATTCTGAGGATAGACCTAACCATTCTCGAGAAATGAATACAGATGCACATGGTAGGTCATCTGTATCTTCAACTACAAGAGGCTCAGTGGAAAATGGACAAACATCTGAGAATCACCACCATCTTAGGTCTCCTTCTGCTACTAGCTCGGTTTCTAATGAGGAGTTTCCAAGAACAGATAGTAATGAAAACTCTGATGCTTCAGGAGAGATTAGATCAGGGCAGCCTCTTGCTGCAACCACTTCAGCAGCAGCTCCTCGGCGAGATCTGTCTTGGCGTAACCGTGGCCAGTTTTGGCGCCGTCCTTCAGACAGACTCGGTTCAAGGATTGTCTCAGCGCCTTCTAATGAGGCGAGGCGTGAACTTGCCGAGGTCGAAAACCAAGTTAAGAAGCTGGTGGAGGAGTTGAAAAGCAGTTCCCTAGATGTTCAGAGACGAGCAACAGGTGAAATAAGGTTGCTAGCTAAGCACAACATGGATAATAGGATAGTAATAGGAAACTCCGGAGCTATTGTTTCGTTAGTGGAGCTGCTTCACTCAACAGACTCAGCTACACAGGAGAACGCTGTTACAGCTCTTCTTAACTTGTCCATTAACGACAACAACAAGAGTTTAATCGCTGAGGCTGGTGCTATAGAGCCGCTCATTCATGTTCTTGAGAATGGTAGCTCTGAAGCTAAGGAGAATTCAGCTGCTACTCTTTTCAGCCTCTCTGTGATAGAAGAGAACAAGATTAAGATTGGTCAGTCAGGTGCAATAGGGCCTCTTGTTGATCTGCTAGGGAATGGTACTCCTCGGGGGAAGAAAGATGCTGCTACTGCATTGTTTAATCTGTCTATACATCAAGAAAACAAGGGGACAATCGTGCAGTCTGGGGCTGTGAGGTATCTTATAGATTTAATGGATCCAGCAGCTGGGATGGTGGATAAAGCGGTTGCTGTGTTGGCAAATTTAGCTACAATCCCGGAAGGAAGAAATGCTATCGGTCAAGAAGGTGGGATTAGTCTTCTTGTTGAGGTTGTTGAGTTGGGTTCAGCTAGAGGGAAAGAAAACGCTGCAGCTGCTCTGCTTCAGCTTTCGACCAATAGTGGTCGGTTCTGTAATATGGTTCTGCAAGAAGGAGCTGTTCCTCCTCTTGTCGCTCTCTCACAGTCTGGTACTCCCAGAGCCAGAGAAAAGGTACAAACTTCTAAAATATCACCATGAATCTTTTGGAGTTTGTCCTTTTTTGCTAACGTTTTTGGAGAATGTTGTAACTTGTTCAGGCACAGGCATTGCTTAGTTACTTCAGAAACCAAAGGCATGGAAATGCTGGGCGAGGCTGATGGATGATTGATGATGAGTAGATTTTGGTTCCTTGGGGCTTGTTTTGTGTTTGTCTTCTTATTTAAGTAGTGATTTTGTACAGAAGAGGTTTCATCTGCAAATAATTCCATACCCAAGATTTTGTTGGTTCTCTGCATTCTTTGATTTTTCGTTTTAATAAGTCTTTGAAGGAACAAACAATGTACAGTTGTGAATGTGCACTGAGTGAGAGAATATGTAACCATCCATAGACTAATATAACAAAGCTCATTAAATGTGTTTGTATTATCACTTTTCACGTTTTTGTGTCTACATCAGAATGAGAGAAAAAATGTTAAATAAAGAGGACGAGAGAAAGAGGTTAAATAAGAGTACTTGAACAGAACAGGAGCATCAGAGATTGACAAAGATGGGTTCTGCCTAGACATGATCGAAGTTTGGAAGAGAAACGGTGATCCTTGATGAACCCTTTCGTCAAACTATTGTCTCTTTATCTCAGGGAGTAGCACCTTTGTTGAGATAAGCTTGAAAAAGATAAGTTTAGAATAACTTGGAGAATAAGTAACCTAATCCTACTGTGCGATGATTATCTATAAGGATTAGGATATATCTAAACATAATTCCTAATGTGTTTAGGAATAGAGTTGAGAGCTATATATAAGAGTTGCCGGTGTGTGGTAACCTAAGACAAGTGTGTGAGCTTTAGTTTTGNAAACATAATTCCTAATGTGTTTAGGAATAGAGTTGAGAGCTATATATAAGAGTTGCCGGTGTGTGGTAACCTAAGACAAGTGTGTGAGCTTTAGTTTTGAGTCTATTTTCTAAAGCTAATAAGAGTTGAGTTCTTATTAATCTTGTGTGTGAGATCTTAACGTGATACAAGTGTGTGCAAGTTAGGTTTGATACAATAAGTGGTATCAGAGCGAGGATCGACAAAGTTATGGAAGAAGATAAAAATATGGGAGACGTGCTAGCAATAACAGAGAAGAAAGAAAGCGTTGGTGGACTTTCATCAATAAAGTGTCCAATGCTCACATCGAGCAACTACACTGTATGGTCCATACGAATGAAAATTGTGTTGAGGGTTAACAAAGTCTGGGAGGTAATTGAAAGCAAATCTACAGATATCGAAAAAAACGACTTGGCTATTGCTCTGTTATGTGCATCTATTCCTGAAGCCTTAGTTCTTCAAGTTGGTGAGTTAGATACAGCAAATAAGATATGGGAGGCAATAAAATCCAGATACTTGGGAGCTGAAAGAGTAAGAGAAGCACGACTTCAAACCCTAAGCGCTGAATTCGATCGGTTGAAGATGAAAGACTCAGAAACAATTGATGAGTTTGCAGGGAAAATAGGTGAGATTTCTTCTAAATCAGCTGCACTAGGAAGTATTATTGAGGAACCAAAACTGGTTCGGAAGATTCTTAAGTGCCTCCCAAGAAAGAAATACATACAGATGGTGGCCTCGTTGGAGCAGGTGTTAGATCTAAATACTATTGGGTTTGAAGATATCGTGGGACGCCTAAAAGCATACGAAGAACGTATCACTGATGAAGAAGAAGTTGAGGAAGTTAAAGAAGAACAAGGAAAGCTGATGTATGCAACTTCTGAGAATCAAAGTGGCCAGTCCAACCGAAACAATAACAGTCAGTCAAACTACTACAACAATCAGTCAAACCGTGACTACAACAATAGAGGCAGAGGTCGAGGAGGACGCTTCTATAACCGTGGGAGAGGTCGTGGAAGACAGTTTGACTACTCGAGAATTGTATGTTTTCGTTGTGATAAGACTGGGCACTTTGCTGCAGATTGCCCTGATCGACTATTGAAGCTTCAAGAAGCACAAGAAACAGACAATACAGAGACACAAGAAGCTGACGAGTTAATGCTGCATGAAACTGTATTCTTGAATGAGAAACATGTGATGCCAGAGAAATATGAAACTAATGTTGGAGAGAATCTATGGTACCTCGACAATGGCGCGAGTAATCATATGACAGGAGACAAAAGATACTTCTCATCAATCGACACTACAGTTACAGGGAAGGTCAGGTTTGGTGACGACTCACGAATAGACATAAGAGGCAAAGGAACCATCTCATTCATTGACATGAATGGCGAACCTAGAAAGATGATGGATGTGTACTACATTCCTGATCTCAAGAGCAACATAATCAGCTTAGGACAAGCCACAGAAGCTGGATGTGATATAAGAATGAAGGGAAAGCAGCTGACAATGCATGACCAAAAGGGAAAGCTACTTGTTACAGCAACAAGATCACGGAATCGCTTATATAAAGTAAGTATGGGATTGAAAACAGAGGCGAACCTGCATCTAACAAGGTCGAGTGATTCAAGTAAATGGCATGCAAGACTCGGTCACGTGAACCTTGAGACTATGAGATCAATGATACGAAGGAAACTGGTGGTAGGAATTCCAAGTATCAACATTGAAGCAGAAGTCTGTGAATCATGTCTAAAGGGAAAGCAAGTGAGACAAGTCTTTCCTCAAGCAACACAGTATCGAGCAAGTAGGAGACTCCAACTGTTACATGGAGACTTGTGCGGTCCCATAACCCCGAGAACTCAAGGGGGTAAGAGCTATATCTTTGTGGTCATTGACGACCATACAAGATACATGTGGAGCATGTTACTTAGAGAAAAAAGCGAGGCTTTCACAAAATTTGCAGCATTGAGGAACGTAGTGGAGCAAGAAACTGGAGAAAAGATACAAGTCTTTAGAACAGACAGAGGAGGAGAGTTCAATTCAAATGAGTTTAATGCTTATTGTGAGAAGTTGGGAATAAAGAGACATCTCACAGCTCCCTATACACCACAGCAAAATGGCGTGGTGGAGAGACGAAACAGAACCCTACTAGAGATGACAAGGAGTATATTGAAGCACATGAACATGCCACATTACTTCTGGGGTGAAGCAATCCGACACTCGACCTATCTCTTGAACCGAGTAGCTACAAGAGCTCTTAAAGATAGGACCCCATACGAGCTATTTCACAAGAAGAAACCTAACATCAGTCATCTAAAGGTTTTTGGATGTATTGGGTATGCAAAGATTGAGAAGTCACTACTGAGAAAGCTTGATGATAGATCAAAGATGTTAGTCAACCTTGGGACAGAGCCGGGATCAAAGGCGTATCGATTATATGATCCAACAACAAAGAAAATAGTAGTAAGTAGGGACGTTGTCTTTGACGAGATGAGAAGCTGGGATTGGAGTAAAAAAGGCTCTGAAGGTGAGAAGTTTAGCCTCACGACTGGAACATATGGGAACCGTGGCCTTCATGAGGATAATGCTGATATAGAAAACCCCACTAGTGCAGAGATCAAGACTCTTAACGAAGCTCAAACTGAAACAAAGAGTGAGAATGATGCAGGGGTTCAGACAGAAAGTGAGACGGAAGCAGAGGAACATGGAGAGATTACGGTCCCCTTACGACGGTCAGAGCGTCAAAGCCACAAACCAAAGTATCTAGACGATTATGTCTTACTTGCGATGGAAGAAGGAGAAAGATTGCTGCTATGCATCAACAATGAGCCTTTGAATTTTCGTGAAGCAAGTGAATCAAGAGAATGGACAAGAGCATGTGAGGACGAGATTGAATCTATTGAGAAAAATAATACATGGGAGTTGGTTGAGTTGCCAGTCGGAGTTAAACCAATAGGTTTAAAATGGGTTTTCAAGATCAAGCGAAACTCAGACGGCAGTATCAACAAGTTCAAAGCTCGCCTAGTTGCAAAAGGGTACGTACAGCAGTATGGAGTTGACTTCGAAGAAGTGTTCGCTCCTGTGGCTCGTCTAGAAACAATCAGACTTCTTGTGAACTTAGCAGCAGCGTACGGATGGGAAGTGCATCATCTAGACGTTAAAACGGCATTCTTGCATGGAGAGCTTAAGGAAGTTGTGTATGTTTCACAACCGGAGGGGTATGAAAAGAAAGGACAGGAACATAAGGTGTACAAACTCAATAAGGCACTATATGGACTACGACAAGCACCTAGGGCATGGAATACAAAGCTAAATCAGATTCTTGTCGAGATGGATTTTGCAAAATGTACAAAGGAGCCAAGTGTGTATCGTAAGATGATCAACGGACATCTCCTTGTGGTTGCTGTCTATGTGGACGACCTGTTTGTTACAGGAACTAACAAAGGAATCATCGAGGAGTTCAAAGCAATGATGGCATCGAAGTTTGATATGAGCAACCTTGGTAAATTGACCTACTACCTAGGGATTGAGGTCTGTCAAAAGAGTGATGGAATAACTTTGAATCAAAGGCAATATGCAAAGAAGATACTGGAGGAAGCCGGGATGGACCAATGTAACTTGGTACATATACCGATGGAGGCAGGACTGAAATTGTCAAGGGCTGACAAGGAGAAAGAAATTGATGCTACAGAGTTTAGAAGGAATGTTGGTTGCTTGAGATACTTGCTTCATACTCGCCCAGACATGGCTTATAGCGTAGGAGTATTGAGTAGGTTCATGCACAGTCCACGAGAATCCCATGGTGCTGCAATGAAGCAGTGTTTGAGATACCTGCAAGGCTCAACAACATATGGCTTGACGTTTCAAAGGATTGCAACAAAGGTTCCACGTTTGCTTGGGTATAGCGATAGTAGTTACAACAGTGATTTAGATGATGGGAGAAGTATAACAGGTCATATCTTTTATCTCGGAGAAAGCCCAATCACTTGGTGCTCACAAAAGCAAGATGTTGTCGCTCTCTCGTCGTGTGAGGCAGAATTTATGGCAGGAACAGAGGCAGCAAGACAAGCATTGTGGCTGCAGGAACTACTCAGTGAAGTTGTTGGACGTCCGTGTGAGAAGGTCATCATACGCATCGATAATAAGTCGGCTATTGCACTTACAAGGAATCCAGTCTTTCACGGACGTAGTAAACATATACATTCTCGATATCATTTTATACGAGAATGTGTGGAGAAAGGGCAGATTGAAGTTGAGCATATTTCTGGTGAAAAACAAAAGGCAGATATCTTGACTAAAGCTTTGGGAAGAATCAAGTTTAAAGAAATGAGAGATTTCATTGGGTTGCAAGATTTGGGGAATAGAGATTTCAAGCTTAAGAGGGAGAATGTTGAGATAAGCTTGAAAAAGATAAGTTTAGAATAACTTGGAGAATAAGTAACCTAATCCTACTGTGCGATGATTATCTATAAGGATTAGGATATATCTAAACATAATTCCTAATGTGTTTAGGAATAGAGTTGAG